AGTTTTGAAAATTTGAAAATTTGAAAAAAAATTTTAAAACTAAAAAAAAAAAAAAAGAAAAAAAAAAAAAAAAAAAAAAAAAAAAAAAACATGAAACAAATAAATCTGTGAGGAGCCAAATACTTAACAGCGTTATACAAACTAAATGCATACACATTCAGAAACATCTGATTTCTCGTCTGATTTACTTCAGGAATGTATTCCTTTAATAATTACTTCTTTGCATTTCTTCAGGTTGTAAAGCACAGTCACTGTATTAGCTGCCAAAAACAGTCAGCAGATTGCTTCTAAAAAGTAGTTAGACATTAATTTGTTTTTTTATGTTTCACTGCCTAATTTGTACAGTCATAAAGAAGTTCAATTACAAAGTTATAAATTATAAAAGTTTAGATTTTTAGTCTGTGTTTTTTTTGGTCTTACAATACTGAATATGGACAGTATTACAAAGGCGAGATTGATAAGCCAATTAGAAGTAAGGTGCTGCAGATTTATTGGACAACAGGTAACAAATTATTGCCCTTTAGGAATATAAACAGATTGTAATATATCATGTTTACTGTTAATAACACACTTTCTATTTATTGTCATCAAAAAGAACATATTCAGTAAGTAGTCCAATTTTGTTCTCACACAGTTTCTTTGTTCCCATATAGTTTTTCTGCATGGCACCAACAGTGACCTGCTGCTGTCCAGTAATTCCTTCCTTCCCCCTCCTGGCGCTGCTGCCGCCTCCGTAAGTGTTTTGTAACGGATGAGTTACCAGCGGTGATTTGCTCTTTTACAGTCTTGTTAATCCTATATGAAAGACTTGCTGACAGATTAGAGTGTGTGGGCTGTTACAGTCTAAAAGACTTTTCTTGTTTAAGAGCTTTGAATGACAGAAAACCCAGAAGTGGTGGGGAGAAAAAGAAAGAGTGTGGGAGATTAGCTGCTTTATTTCTGCCGTTGCTCATATTGAACTGAAACACTTTAAATGCCAACATTAAAGGTTGCATAATCATATGTGTGCGTGCTGCTCATGTGGGCTCTCTCAACCTATTTTCTGTGTGCATGTGTCTGTATCGCCACAGTTTATGCGTAAAGCTTGAAAACAAACAGCAAAGGCAGAAAATGGGTTGAGTTTAAATAATGCAACCACCAGATTTTGGAGAAAAACGGCAGAAAAAACTTTGACACATGGGGAAACGTCATGCAATTTTAAAAGATAAATGGGAAACTTAGACAAAGGCAAACAGGAATACTAACAAAACAAGGGGAAACACCTAGTTACAGCTTCGTAAATCAGAATATTAGCTTGCTTGTCCTTGCAAACAGAGGTGGATAAAGTACCCAAAGATTTTACTCAAGTAAGAGTAGCACTACTTCAACATATTTTTACTCAAATAAAAATAAAAGTAGCTGCCCCAAAAATTATTCTAGTAAGAGTAAAAAAGTAATTGGTAAAAAGTCTACTCAAGTACTGAGTAACTGATCAAACCGTCAATCATTTAATATTTAAAATTTTAATTTGACCAATCATTTTGACCAAAACATAAAGTTCTGTGGAAATTTTGAGTATTTTATTAACCGAAGTGAAAATAATTGATTTTAATAACATAATTACAAAAGCAGGCAAAAGAAAATCAATATAAATCAAAATCAGTTTATTTCAATAATAATAAAATAAACTTCTGAAACTTTAACAAAAACTGCAGGTGTTTTGTTCATTCAGTGAAGAAATTATTTACATAAAAACCATCAACTGAAAAACAATGGAGAAATAGTCAGTGGTGAAATACTGCCATCTGGTGAACACCTGAAGTCACTACAAGTACATTTCTCTATTTAATTCCAAGGTTTTGATATGCAAGTCATAAATGGTCTGGCCTTCATTGGATTCTAAAGAAATAATTCAACATGCTCTGAACCTTGTCATTTTGGCAGTGTGTGTGTGTAAGTGCCAAGTCCTGTCTAAAAATATAATCAGTACTGAGGAAAGCAGGAGAGGAAAGCATGAATCACTCAAATGTTCCTGGTGAATGGCTGAGCTGATTGAACTTGATAAAAAAGAGAGAGGACTGAAGGACACAACTAACAAAATCATGTCTGGCTGAGGAAACTTCTGTGCCTTTCCAATCTTTCTCCAGCCTCTTAGGCCTTGACGATTACCAAGTGAAATGCAAAATGTACTTTCATCTGAAAAGACGACTTTTATTGGTTGACGATAGTGTTAACTTTTTTTAGTTTTGCTATGAATGTTAAGTAAAATATGTGTGCTTCCGTCAGTCTTGGGCACGATTCTCTTGTAAGAGAGACTTCTAATCAATTTTGTAAAACTGAAAACATCGTATTACGGTTACAACATGTGAAAAGACTAAAATAACCAATCAAGACATCAGGTTGGAGGCTAAAGCTTGGACACAGTTGTGTCTTCCAAATGGACAACGACTTTATGCACTTCACCAAATTAGGTCCAAAGTGGCTTAAATAAATTAAAATAAACGTTGCAATATTGCAATCACAAAGCTCTGACCTGACTCCTAAGGAAATTACCGTAGGTTTGGTGAAAAGGAATGGAGTTAAATTCCTACAATTCATTTTGAGAAGGTTGTGTAAGTATACCGGTTTAAACTACAAATGTCGGTTTATCTTGCAAAGAAAAACCAGAGTCAAAAATGATCCATAACAATGTAGATAGGTAAAAAATAAACTTTTAATAACTTCCAGAAACAACTGAAATACACATACAGTAACTCTAAGAGAACAGAACTAAATAAAAAGTTAAAGACAAGTTCCAGAGAGGCATGAACAAACTTAAAACAATGTGCAAGTAAAATGACCTGAGTGAATAAAACAAGAAGAAAAATGGTGTGCAAAACTACTGACAATATATAAAAGTAAATAAAACTGGAAAATGAACAGGAGTTTATTACCAGGAGAAAAGATACTGCTGTACAATCATGTCATCTCGTGAAAAAAAAAAAAGATAATTTTTTTGGGGAAAAATTAAATTTACGGTAATCATTTAAAGTGATATTGCCAATTTTAGTAAAGATGTTTGATGGCAGTAAAATAAAAATATTTGCAGCTTGAGTATTTAAACCCGTTTTGTTTTTGCTTTGGTATTTCTCCACACATGCAAAGCCCCTCATGTAACGTTTCTCCTGGTACTGTAACAGGTTACTGTTATTCATGTTAAATGTGCCCAGTTTAAAAATTGCATTGACCTTCTGCTACATCAGAAAATAAGCTGGGATACCCCTTCTCCCGAGCACGAAAGTGCAACATACTGAATGTATAATACAACGCAACAAAATACAGTCCTTAAATTCAGCAATACTTAAATGACAGTCCATCTGAACATACATAAACACACTACAGTACAGCTCAGTTATAATAAAACTAGTACAATTATTTTCCCTGACCTCAGTAACAATGTGTCTCCGCATAAATAATGAGTCCTTTCTCCTTTGATTCATCTCTTTGATAGAAACAGATTCAATCAAATACTAAAAGAGCTGGTTGGAAATATTTAGGCAGAATTAATTCCTTTGAGTCACATTCAAATTTTTTCAGTACAATTCAAAACCACCTATGGATATTATTTTATCCTAATAAATTACCTTTATTACTCTCAAGATTAAAAGACAATTTAAACATAAAATACAAAAACCATTTATAACAATGTCAGAATATTTCTGATTAAGCTTCTTAACCATTATTTACTGGCTCATTGAGTTTTACTATTACATGCAGTTAAAAAGCTTTTAATAAAAGAAATACATAAATGAATAAATATGTGAATAAATAACTTTGACAAAACAGTTTACGATGTAACAAAATAAGAGTTGCATCACATTGCAAGTAAATTGTAACGTCAATACAGCAAAGAAGCTGGTTAAGCTGATACGTGCTAGCTTGGTACCTCTTGTGCTGAAAGACCTGATCAGTCCAATAAAGAGATCAGATGCACTGATGAACCTTTTGGAACATTGACCCAAGACCACAATCCAAATCCTGGATAAAGAGCTTCAGTGAATGTGGTGTGGAAAGTGTGGATGTGGATCAATGTGTCCGAGGAGACTCTGTAGAAGGACAGCGTTCCTGCCGGCCAGTCCAAATACACTGCTACTCTGTGAGATGAAGTGTGGGTGACCACTGTGGTGTAAGGGATGGATATTCCTTTTTTATTGTGCCAGACAGAGTAAGAGCTGCCATCATAGAACAAAGTCCAGGATTGGTCATTTCCACCAAACCAGCCATCATTTTCCTCTCCTCTCCTGATAATTCCTTTGTAACTCACTGAAGTGTGAACCCCTCCCATCAGCTCGACCTCCCAGTAACAGCGACCTGTCAGAGCATTTGAACACATCACCTGATGGTTCTTCTCAAACCTGTCCGGATGATCGGGATATGGCTGAGCCTCCTCCACGTATGATGCCTTTGTGTTGTTGTCTGACAGTTTCACATTTCGGTTCACCGAGTTTGTATCGACTGTGAGTTTACACCAATCTGAAGAGCAAAACAGAAAATAATGCCTTGTGAGTAAATCCTGCGATTCACAGTAATAATAGTTATAATGCAACACATTAACCTGTATCCCCTCTCCACTTTATCCCACCTGGACATTTCAATAAACGCATCTATCCTTCTAACTATGTTATAAAACTATTGTTACAGCTTTTAGGCAATGTAGCAAAAAAAAAAAAAAACACATTCTAAGAAAGATATGTATAAATATGCACCCCAACAGATGGACTGTTTATTACAATGCAGCATGTTGAGGGTGAAGTTTTCCCCTTTGTTTTGTCATGTTTCATTTTTTTCATTCCTCCGTAATAAACTAAGCATAATCTATGACGTCGTCCACACAGAGACGAACATGGTGAATTTTTATAAACAAGAGAAAATGTCCGTCCAAACTAGAGGATGCTGCGCCACCGACGGCATGGTAGTAGGCACGCCAGGCCAATTGGTGGCGCTGTAACACTGTGTGTGTGAGTGAGGCACACACCAGTCACAGAGAGAGATGGAGCTAATTTATGACTACATGTTTCATTTAGGAACAAAATTAGAGACTCCACTGACAAAGCTTATCTTGCTCAAATGTACTTATGTCAAAAAACTGTTCACTGTGAAAAGAAAAGAGGATTAAGTCAATCATAGAAAAAAAAAAAACATTCAGCCTAAATTGGTGATAAGATTGAATGACCCAGAAATAAAAAAGAGCTATCCAAAAACGTTAGCCAGCCTCAAAGAGAGAGACAGAACCGTGACAGTCCTGAAGCACTGTATTTGAGCTGCCTTTATACCTGTCACAACCCCCTTTCAGGTGCAACTGGAGCTATATGAGGTAACCCGATCACCTTATGTAGAGAAGAATAAACATGCCAAACTTGGGGCTCTCCAGCCATCACAACACTGAAACATGAAACAGGCATTTTGAAATTCTTCCACTCTGGAACCTAGCTTCAAAAATTATTGTTTCTGGTCTCCCAAAACACCGGATCAGTGTGAACCCACAGCCTAAACATCAAAATGTTGGGTTTTTTTTGGAGTTTGCTGTAAGTAGAATCTGGCTTTTGTTCCCATTTGTTAATTTAGGTCCCAGTTTCTGATCTCATACCTGAAAATTACCAATAAGTAAAATAGCCTGGAGCTTGCTTTTTAGATGTAAACTAGTGATAAGTTCAAAAACAAAACCGTACTTACATTTCCTCAGTCCTGGTGTTAACCACTCGACTCCAGCTGGATGTGTTCTGAAGAAATTTAGTAGGGAAGAAAAATGTTGATGCTTCTTTACGTCACACAATGACAGTAACATATTTTCTTCGTCTCAACAAAGTGAAATTGTCTGAGACTGAATCAGGCCTTTATACCACACCTGAGAACTTGAAGCTTGGACTGTGGATCCTTCAAATTAGCAGATAGAAGCTTTACTCCAGCGTCATCTGAATGATGGTTGTAGGTCAGATCGAGTTCTGTCAGCTGGAAAGAGGTGGAATTCAAAGCTGATGCCAGAGAAGCAAATCCTTCTCCTGTGACCAGACAGCCAGACAGTCTACACACACAGAACAATGCAGTGTGAGCACAATGCAGGACTTTAGAAATTATGTCATTCTCACAAACTGAAGACTTTGGTCAACAAAATTGATGGCACTACGTTTTTCTTTTATAGATGTTGGGAAATGACAAAACTTTATTTTCAGAATAAAAATAAGGATTATATTAGATATCTTGCCAAGTCCGATCTATTTTAGTACCTACATGCTTTCTGAAGGTAGGTTACTTGTACTTCAGGATGTAGAGTAAATGTATATTGTACATCACACTTCTAGAAAATTATTAGCTAAAAAATGAGCAAATAACAAAAATCTATTTGCTAAAAATAATTATTATTTTTTAGCAAATCTTTTTCTTTGTACGTCATGATTATGGGCAACTATCCAATAAAAGACAAGTATGTTTTTAAAAGAAGTATGTTTTTCTGTGTCAATTTTAAGAAAAAGAAATTAGGTGGCTTGACCACTTTCACAAAGCACAGTAACATTTTAAAATTAAACTAATACACTAAAATAACACAAAGCAAAAAGGCTTCAGAATGCCCAAAATAAACGCATCAGAAGTGGCAAAAATTTCATTGGGTTCTCACCAGAACTTGTTTTCTCGGTCCTCATGTAATTTACTAGTGTAGTATTATTTAAGGTTTATTTTTCTGATAAAATACCTGACGGGTTTCACTAAGAATATTGTCCCTTTTTTAACTAGCACTTTTGCTTTGAGTCAGAATTTTACTGGACTGAGCTCAACAATCATCCAATGAGCTCATTAGTCAGGGATTACCTTAGAGTTTCTAGCCGACAGTACGAACTCTCCAGTCCAGTCGATAGCAGCTTCACTCCTGAATCCCGCAGGTTGTTGTTACTTAGTTCCAGCTCTTTAAGGCAAGCAGACTCAGAGCTGAGAACTGCAGACAAAGCTTCACAACTAGTTTCTGAGAGGCAACAATGATTCAGTCTATGGGGAAAAAGAAAAGGAAAAGAACAGACAAAATATTATGTTAAGCACATCCAAAAGATGTAATGGCTAAATTTCAAATATTGCTTTACTCCATTCTGACCTGAGAATTTCCAGTTGACAAAATGAGCGTCTCAGTCCCTCAGACAACTTATCCACTGCTGAACCTTGCAAGTTGTTGTTGCTCATGTCAAGCTCTCTCAGTCGAGAGAAGCTGCTCAGATGTGGATGTAAGATGTCAATACTTCTCTCTGAGATGGAACAACCCCTCATTCTGAAGAAAAATTAAAAACAAGACCTTTTCTGATCAGATAAAATTATCAGAAATGTGTTTGTCCTGTGCATGTAACCTTCTGGAAGATTGAAGAATAGTAGATAAAATTAGTTCAAGCAACATTGACTGAGAATCAAACACTTTTGTAAACCACATTTACCAAATTGTTTGTCTTCCTGCTTAAGGAAAAACCGGTGATTTGTTCATCTTTTCCACAAAAGGATCATTTCAAAAATATTTTTTGATGCAAGATCGGTTTTGGACAAAATGGTTTTGTCCAAAACCGATAATGTCCAAAAATGAATGGAGTTTGGGGAAATCTGTCCATTAAAGTAAAGGTCAGAAACCATGAAAGATTGTCGACCCTGAAATAAGTACAACTTCAGACACAGAACCTTCTGCTATTGAAAATATTTATCCAATCAGAAAGAAAAGAACCAAATTAAAAAAGGTTGAACTTCTGCTAACCAAATAAAATCTTGAATGCAACAGTTTACACCACAGACGTCATAAAAAACACGAACCCAAAACCTGCTCCAAAACTATTGGTGTTGCTATATAATTCAAAGATAAATTTCAGAATACTATTTTAATATCCACAATATATTTTCATAATATATGCATACATTATTTTTTGCAATACAAATTATTTCATTTGTAGACAAAATAATCTCTACAGGCACCAAACAAAGTCATTTGAACTAATTCCAACAAAAATAATCTAATACTTTAAAATTAAACAAAACGGGTAATAATTGTAATACTCAGTATATTAAACAGGTGAAAGAGTACCGTTAGCACCTTGAGTATTAAGTTTGGTTCTGAATATCTCACCTAAGAGTACCGAGTGCGCAGTTTGGGTTCCTCAATCCCTCAACAATCTGCTTCATTCCTGAATCTTGCATGTTGTTGTTACTAAGATCCAGCTCCCTCAAAGAAGACTTGTTGCTGAGAACTGAGGACAAAGCTTCAAGACCACTTTGTGAAAGGGCACAGAAAGTCAGTCTGAAAAAAAAAAAAACATGTAAAAAAAAATTTAACAGGGTTAATCTTTTGCTAAGCTTTTACCAACAAAGCAAATGATATTGAAATAAAATGTGCACTTACACAACTGTCTTTGAGACTTTGATCAAAGGCAGCAGCCTGAGAAGAACGTTTTCAAAGACAGAAAACCTGGTAAAGTCGAATACATCAAGACTTTCTTCTGAAGATAATAAGAAGAAGACCAGGGCCGACCACTGGGCAGGAGACAACTTATCAGTGCGTAGTGCTCCTGCAGATAAGAACTGCTGGATCTCTTGCATAAGAGAATCATCTTTCAGTTCATTCAGACAGTGGAACAGATTGATGCTTTTCTCTGTAGACAGATTTTCATTGATCTTCTCTTTAATGTATTGGGCAGTTTCCTGATTGATCTGAGAGCTTCTTTCCGTTTGTCTCAAGAGGCCATGCAGGAGTTTCTGATTCGTCTCCAGTGAGAGTCCCAACAGAAAGCGAAGGAACAAATCTAGGTGCCCATTTGGACTCTGTAAGGTCCTGTTCACAGCACTGTGGTAAAAACTGAGGATCGTTGGTTTCTTCAACAATGTGGGCAATGTTGATGGGGTTGTTTCTTTCAGATGATTGACACCAGACTCTGTGAAGCTCAAATGGACATAAAGAGCAGCAAGAAACTCCTGAATACTCAAATGTACAAAGCTGAACAGTTTGTCATCAGACAGCACTCTCTCTACTTTAAAAATCTGTGTGAACATTCCAGAGTACTCTGAAGCACCTTGGACACTGATACCACATTCTCTCAAATCTGATTCATAAAAGATTAAGTTTCCTTTCTGCAACTGCTCAAAAGCTAGTTTTCCCAGAGACTTCATCATCTGCTTCCTCTTTGAACTCCAGTGTTCATCTGTCTCATTGTCCCCATCGTATTTCACCATCTTAACTTTGGTTTGGACCAGCAGGTAATGGATGTACATCTCAGTCATTGTCTTTGGCAGCTCTTTGGTCTGACTTGTCTGAAAGACGTCCTCCACAACTGTAGCAGCGATCCAGCAGAAGACTGGGATGTGGCACATGTTGTGGAGGGTTTTTGATGTCTTGATGTGGGAGATAATCTTGCTGGCCAATTCCTCATCCTGGAATCGTTTTCTGAAGTACTCCTCCTTCTGTGGGTCATCAAACCCCCTGACTTCTGTCACCATGTCAACATAGTCATGAGGGATCCAACCGGCTGCTGCAGGTCGAGTGGTTATCCACAGACGAGCAGTGGGAAGCAATTTCCCTCTGATGAGGTTCGTCAGAAGGGCATCCACTGACGCAGGCTTGGTAACGTCAGTCAGGATCTCATTGTTTTGGAAGTCCAGAGGAAGTCGACACTCATCCAGACCATCAAAGATGAATATGACCTGGAACTCAATAAACCCGCAAATTTCCTTGGTTTCAGTAAAGAAATTATGAACGAGTTCCACCAAGCTGAACTCTTTGCCTTTCAGAGCATTCAGCTCCCTGAATGTGAAGGGGAATATGAACTGGATGTCCTGGTTGGCTTTGTTTTCAGCCCAGTCCAACGTGAACTTCTGTGTTAGGACAGTTTTTCCAATGCCAGCCACTCCCCTCGTTATCACTGTTCTGACTGGGTTATTTTGTCCAGGTGAACCTCTGAAGAGCTGTTCCAGTCCGATTGTCACTTCTTCTCCGCTTTGCTTTCTGGAAACTGTTTCGATGTGTTTAAACTCATGTTCTTCATTCACCTCTCTGGTTCCACTCTCTGTGATGTAGAGGTCTGTGTAGATCTTATTCAGAGGGGTTGGTTTTCCTGTCTTATCAATCCCTTCAGACACACACTGAAACTTATTTGTCAGAGCAGATTTAAGTTTACGTTGACAAACTGCACCTGAATAAACAAAAAAATTCATTAGGGAATTATAATAAGTACATTTCGCACACTTAATTTACATGTAAAAAAGTAAAAAGATTTCTATCTCAGGGAAGATTTTCTTACTTTTGAGAATATGATCAATTAGCTGCTTCAGATGAACTTGGTCAAGGTCTTGCTTTATGACCTCCGGTAATGATGCCACCTCTACCAACACTTTTCCATCCTCCCACAGATTTACAAAATCTTCGGTATATTGTAGGCAGAAACACTCCTGTGAGCTTTTCTGTTCATGTCTATGGAGAACAAGAAAGAGCAAGTTTAAAATTAAAAATCAAACTTGAAGGAATTAATAATATCAAAACTTAAGTTGTGGTTATTGTGAATAGTAGAGATGTATTAATTAGTTAGAGATCACACTGATTGATTAACACATCGATAAGTGTGATTGGTGTTTTGGTCAAACACCAAAAAAAATTTGTTTCTATTCATTAAATGCATCAAAGACTATTTTTACTGTATAAATGCATCCCTTATTTTAAATTTACGTACACTTATATACAGATTTGGGACTCATGCTTTGATCTATAAAAGGGGACAATCCTGAAATGTCTTCATTTCACGCTGAAATAAAAAATACACCATTTCTCTCAAAGAACCTGTTGCATATTCTTTAATGTCCTGTGTTATATCCTTAGATAAAATGCAATTGGTAGGAATCAGAGTCGGAAGGTCAAAACCGCTGGTCAGCAAACACCACATGCTAACTATTAGCGCATCTCTAATAAATACCAATTAGCATGTGTTACTTTACTTTTGTTTAAAAAATTATCATGATGTAGCACAGAAAACATTTTTTGAGATGTTGGGTTGTTTCAAATTGATCTATTTACTCATAATAACTGGTATTGAAAATAAATGTTTGGGTCACAACATTATATCACAAGCTTGATTGTACTCGGGTATTACTGCATCCAAAATGCATCACATGAGATAATGGTGCATAAAACAAGTAAAAATGCTAAGCAACTAATGAGCTTTTAAATACCATCCTTAAATATTTATACACTGAAAGACCAATGATGATGGGAAATTAAATGGTGATTTCCCATCATCATTTAATTTATGCCTCAACAAATCTGTGTCGTTTCAATAACAGCTTACTTTTGTTTAGAAGATGATGGATGTATTTTAAAGAAGATGACAACATCCTTTGATGTATCACTCCTGCATGATGCACAGCTAGGACTGGGTGAGTTTGGGCTCCGTAGCTGGATTCTGAAATAAAGTCAAGCAAAAAATAAATAAAAAAATTATATATATGCTAAAAATGTCTAATCTAAGCATGGCAGGGGGAAAAGATAGTGTTATTAGTTATCAGTCTGCAGATTGCTGTTGGTTTTCAAAACGGCCAGATGAGAAGTCTGGTTCCGTTCATCCATCCATCCAATCTCTTCAAATGCCATATCTCTTTGATATACATCTCAGATACAAACATTTTCACTTGAATAATATCAATTCAGTCTATTTTTAAACAAACTTTCTTGAAGTTCATCTTACATCTCTTCAGCAGATAAGGACTCTGCTTTAAAGTCAAAGTGAAGGTCCTTTGATGCATCACTCCTACAGGACACACAGATAGGGCTAGGAAAGTCTCCTCTGTCCAGCAGTCTCCTGAATCAAAGTAAAATTACACAACTTTAGCACAAAAAGTAATTCATTCTGTAGATCTTCCCATAGTCACACCTCTAGCAAATTATTATTCTGTCTTAATTTAAAATATGTGAACAGTCAGTCAGACACAACTAGACTGTAATAAAAAAGAAAAACCAGAAGCTGGCTTATTTATTACAGAAAGTTCAATGAAACAAGTCTGGTTAAATTAACGAAGTTTATTTTTCCATCCCTGAGAATGTCAAAAGCAAAAGTATGTCTGCATGATTGCTCTGCTAAGACTGGCAATGACTACAATTTCAATCCTACCATTTCAGTCAGCCTGAGTGAAAACGTATAATACAGGGAGGACTCTCTTGATATCTAGTATCCATCTAGTTTCCAAACGAATGTTGCAAAGTTTTAGATCATTTTGCCAAGCCCTAGTTTATGTATCTTTCCAAAATATCAGAACATTTCAGCAGTATCATGGTCGTTATTGACAGCTTACATCAGTTCAGCAGATGAGGTCTGTCCTTTAAGGTCATTGGGAAGCTCCTTTGTCACATCATTGTTGCTTGGCATACAGGTAGAACAAAACTGCAGTCCACTTCTACAACAAATCACAAAAAAGATATGACAATCAAACTTGTATGACAAACTGAAAATATCACAAAGCAATGTCCAAACTCAAATATTTCAATGTTTTTGATTAAAAAAAAAACCTAAAAAAGTCTCACGCTATCATCTTATTTGGAATCAAGACGATTCATTGAAGCACTGTCCAGGTTCAGCACTCTCTGACCTGTAACACAACACACATAGTATCGAGTGAATAATGATGATGATTGTCTGAATGATGAAGCAGCAGTCTATAGAGGCAACATCTGATCTGACAGAAAGATGCAACTGGTCTTTAATTAAAAGGTGTTTGTTCAAAACTAGATCACTCTAACTGTTCATTTATACAAGTCCTTGCAACCTTAAGTCGATTATCTCCAATTACCAATCAGCATTCCAGAAGCCTTGGCTAAGAAGGAGACACGTTACATGAACATTTCTAAACAAGTCTATGAATATTTAATCTATTAACACTGAGCTATATAAATTACAGAACACTTCACTGTTCATCCAAGTATACAAACACCTGATTTGTAATGGGTGAAAATAGGAAATATCTTTGACCTTAAACACCCAAAGGAAGAAGTCACATAATCTCATGATGTGAAGTCACATGACCTACTACAAAATTAGAGTGTGGCACAGAGAAAAATGTGATTCAGGGATAGAAGAAAACATATATGTGAAAGTGGAATAACCATCACTTTAAAACTGCATTTAATGTTTTAAAGACAATTCCTCATTGTTTTAAAGGATAAACCACCTTGCACCACCTCACTGATATGGAAGGATGGGTGTCTAAACCTGCACCCTTTTCTTTCTCATCTGAAAAATAGTAGACCTAGCCTCTTATTGCTTCTACATGGGGGTTGGCTGGTGGTTTCCAACGTTTGACTATACAAAGCCACTATGATGTCATCCACAATTCATTACCTAATATTTTATATATTCTTATTCCATGCAGTAACCTTAAGTCGGAAACTGAATCTGTTTGTGACTACTTCCTCTCCTCCTACTCCAGAACTGGTCAAATGATGTAGTTTCACATATGAGGTCTGAATCAGCTTTTTCTGTTATTGGGGACTTCACTTCGCACGAAATGGCGTGTGAGGCTTTAGCTTTTCAAATTTCCGCCCCGTCATGCAAGGATGGACATCATTCAATTACTCTGAAAATAATTTTGTTGGAGGGATATGTTTTATTTTAGTTTTTAAGGTTCTTACAAAATTTAGTAAAATTCTCCTGGAAAAAGCCAGAATCTGTTGTTGCTTCAGATCAAAAATAAGGCCAAGTGTATCAAGTATTAGAAGAGTTTCCACCTCTAAAGTTTGTTAACTTTGGTCTGAATAACTTGTAGAGTTTGTGAAATTGTAACCTTTTCTGGAGGTTGGGTTTCTTCTAAAACTGAAATTCTAAGCAAACCAAAACCTTGCACTACAAATTATGTGAAAATGTGCTGGTTGGATGTGTTTGGGTCAGGAGTACCAAGAATAAAATAGCAAGAAGATGCTGTGTTCCAAGCTAATTGAAATAATGAAAAATGTGATCCTTTTAGTTGCATTTTTCTGAGTTTTCAGGAAAACTTATCTGAGAAGTATACCAATTGGATTTTCAGAGGTGATCTTGCACAATGCCTTTTCCTTTATGAAAAAGGCATGCAGCTTTAGTTAGTTATTTTGTTTATGTTCCCACACCCCACAATTAAAAGGAAAATTAGTTAGTTTGTTTTAAATAGACTAAACCAGGGGCACATCAATAGGTGGCTGATGACGGAGGAATAAATCCAACAACCTTCCAGTTGCAAGTGAACTCTATCCACTGAACCACAGTTTCCAACAAACAAACAAAAAACACACCAAAAGTGAAAGCGTCCCAGATTATAGATTATTTCTTGCATTCCAAAAACTGTTTGTTGAGATTCAGATTTTAAAAAATCTGACACAAGAAGAGTGGAACCATTTTTAAAGTCTTTTAAATCTCAAATAGGGTTGTTGTAAAAGAATATTTAAGTAATCGAGGTACTCAAATCATTCGAGGAATCATTACAGCCCTAATCTCAAACCATCTTTTTCTCCTTCCTTTAGTTTACAATTTGATTTAGGGAACATGTTGGGAAATGCAGGACTGTCTTTGCTTCTTCTGTAATCGAAGAAAACTATTTACTTCCCTTTTTTTTCCACTAGAAACAAGTCACAAGCGCAACTTAATGTGGCATTGTATCACCATTTTTCTGGCTGGTGAGTAAAAGTCATGGCATTTATGTTACACTGCAATGTTTCTCTTTTACCTAGTCAATGACACCAGTAGTGGTTTCGTCATTACTGTTCACCAGTAATGGTGAAATCACCTAGTTCAACATATCAGATAAACTTAGTGGATTTTGAGCCAATCATGATGCCAGGCAGAAAAGTCTTCAACCCTTCTTGGCCATGATAAAGAAACAAATAAACAAGATGGGTTTTTATACAATTAGTTTTCCCAACAATCCAAAAGGAATAAACAAGAATGAGAATGAAGAAAAAAAAATATTCCAGAGTTAAAATTAGTTATCAGCCATAATGAACCTGATTAAAGATTTTCTGTGATAGGTTATGGTTAGAGCTAAACTGAGAAAAACTGGCCTGATGTTTGTGACTGAAAACACTCTGTCGTTTCAAATTCCAGACAGATCTGTAACCATAAAAGGATTTACTTTCAGGATGGGCACATGCAAGGTTTCTGCTCTTTTAAAACCTGTTCCTCAGGCTTTACCTTTAAGCAGCTGTCACTCTGTGACTGCTTAAACTTCCTAAAGTGGAAATATGAGCCACATTAGAGAAAGCTTTAGCAGCCAGACAGCTATAGTATTTCTTGTTTGATTTGAAGGCCTTAGAACATCAACCAAGTCTTTTTATGTCCCATTTACTTTCACCACAAAAGAAAATCATCCCCATGAGCTAAATAGATTTGTTGTTTCTGATCTAGCAGCTGCAGTTATGGTAGTTTCAGTCTTTCCGCTACTGAATTTAAGAGTTCAAACCCAATTCTAAAGTCACTCTTATTTTCTCCCTAAAAGAGTTGAGTTGTAAATTCATGTTAGGTCTGCCTTTTAGGAATTTACCAAGGACCCAGTAAAGTGCATGAAAAGTCTTTTGACTACCGACCTGATAGCGAATTAACTATTGAGAAGAGAGGTAGACAAGATAAACAAATAAACCTTACTGTAATTATTGATAATGAACAGATAAAATACTACGCTATTGATTATCTGCAGTTACAGTCTCACATTTACTCTGCATTAATCTATTCAGATTTAAGCAAGTGCAAGGTTGCTAAAACAACCAAACCAAAATTACAAAGGCATCATGTCTGTTTTTATAGGTCTGCTTTCACATTTTGGAAAGATCGATCCTAAAACACTCTTCCTTTCATCCGTGTTCATCTGTCTTATGCAAAATTGCTTTAGCGTTACGCAAAGTTGCAAAGCTTAACAACAGGGACATGTTGTTATGTTGCATAATAGGGACATATAGTCAGACCACGGGTAATGTATTTACGTAAACGATCTATCACTAGGGTAAATGCAACATCACTGGTGTTGTGCACAATATTAAAATAAAATGAAATAAATAAATAATAATAATAATAATAATAATACATTTGAATCTAACTGTATTTTGGGGATATATGCATTTTGGTGCGCCGGATAATTCTTTCGTTGTGCAATGTCTTTTTTTCGTATAAAAATGCCAGGACAACAATGAACGTTTCATAATTTTATCTTAAATAACATATAAGCCGATTAAAGTTGTCAGATCCAGCAGAAAGTTCCAAAAACGGATAAAGTGGATGAAGCTACTTACTGTGTCTCGACAAAAGTTGAAACAATACAGAAAACAAGTGAAACTAACCTCCTCCTTCTTCTTCTTCATCTTCTTCTTCTTCTTGGTTTTTTTTATTGGCGGTTGGCAACAAACTTTCAGTAGCATTACCGCCACTTACTGGTATGGAGTGTGGTTCGTGATGATCTATATACTTTTACTTCATACCTAATCCCTACATTAATTTCTGACTAAACATACACTCACACATACACACCTTCTTATATAATCTTACTTGCATATATCTTTATATACCACTCTTTGTTATTCTTTACACATTCACCACATGGTTTCTGTTTTTTAAGAAACCAAATAATTATTTGAATATGTCTACTCCCCAAATTCCTCCTCAAAAAATCTGATAAATTAAACCTTTCTTTAATACCTTCACACTCTCTCAACATGCATCTTCTCTATTCTTCATAAAATAACATGCTCTATTGTTTCAAACTTCTCACAATAATCACACTTTTCAGTTTTATGCTTCTGTATTTTAAAAAGAGAATAATTAAGCCCTGTATGACCGAACCTTAACCTCGTTATTATACTTTCCTCCTTCCTGTTTCTTCTTCCCTTTCTTTTCCTTCCTACAAACTTCTGAATTTTATAAAACCATCTTCCTGTTAAACTTTCATCCCACCTTCTCTGCCATATTTTCATCAGCTATTCTTTGATTTTACTTTTCCCTTCAGATTTACCTGTCCTAACTGCAAAACTAATGGGATTATGTATTGCGTTCTTTGACATTTTATCAGCCATACCTCAATTACGACGAATTCTAGTTCTTTCCCTTTGACTAAAACCTGATATTGTATCCCTCGTTTTATAAATTTTTCAAATCCGCCTCACACCTCCTAATTCTTCTCCCTCCTCCTCCTCCTTCTCCTCCTCTTCATGCTCCTCATCCTCCTCCTCCTCTTCTTCTTTTCTGTTTTAACGGCGGAAGGCAACCAACTAAAGTTGCATCAACCGCCATCTACTGACCAGGAGAGTGGTCATTGCAGTATGTCAAATGCTAAGTTCAGAAATAATTACATAAATAACTATAAACCGAAATTCCATTACTAATCCTTTTCCCAATTTCAACTTTAAGCTGTGGTGCAACAATCGCTGTTCCTAACCTATTAGTTATATTTTGTGATGCATCAATATATGTAAACAGCTATAATACTGATTTAAGTATTCTTCTACAATATATTTATTCATAATGAGATAATTATCGTTATTCTTCACTTCTAATAATAAAAAATCTACTTTAGGAACAGAGTATCCAAGATGTTATTGCGGGTACAATAATTATCTGACATATATTTAATTGGTCATTCATTAACTTTGGAATTTCCTATGCATAATGTATTAATTTCCTTTTCCCAAACCATGTATCAAAAGATTAGTACAAGGTATTGTGGACAGTCTGGACCTTTGCTGAGGTCGTTCCTTATCAATAATACCTGCTTTTATTCAATACAACGCATTCTCGCTTTTGAGAGACTTGTCCTGTCATCAGAAATCAACCTTTCATCACTCCATCATCAACAGTGTCAACTTATACGTGGCCGGTTTTCGAGCTCCAGGAGCGATCGCTGTGCGGTTTTTGCACAGGAGCCATCGCCGAAATAGCTCAGCTGGGAGAGCGTCAGACTGAAGATCTGAAGGTCCCTGGTTCAATCCCGGGTTTCGGCAAATCTTAGAAACGTCAAAGGATTAGTACAAGGTATTGTGGACAGTCTGGACCTTTGCTGAGGTCGTTCCTTATCAATAATACCTGCTTTTATTCAATACAACGCATTCTCGCTTTTGAGATACTTGTCTTGTCATCAGAAATCAACCTTTCATCACTCCATCATCAACAGTGTCAACTTATACGTGGCCGGTTTTCGAGCTCCAGGAGCGATCGCTGTGCGGTTTTTGCACAGGAGCCATCGCCGAAATAGCTCAGCTGGGAGAGCGTC